GCCATTGCAATAGCATCTGAACTAAACCATACACTAAGGTGTGTATACGTCAATAAGGTAATCACCTTGTCTACACTCAGTATCCACAGCGGAAGACAGAAAAGGAGAAAAATACCTGTCAAAAGTGAGTCAAGTCACATACGTATACAGCATTGAGTCAACTCCTTGTTAAAAATGTGTAATGTTGCAAAATATTTCAGTGACGGGCTAATCGCTTCCATTTTCAATTCATTTTTGATTGAAATATAATTGCAGTGGACCATATCCCTAATGAATTAAAGTAATGGATTATTTAAATGGCTATAATTAACCTGATAGCCTCTCTGTTATTATGACTCTGGAGGTGTGACTCTAACCCTGTAGAACATCTCGTGGCCATTATACCATAATTATCTCTGAACTATGCAAGCTGTTGGAGAAAGTTGGGGAAACCTGGTGATTGACAGCTGTACAGTATAGTAGCTGAGGGAGTTCAAATATACAGCACACATAGAAAACTATATTCAGTGTGCATTCTCCAGCAGAGGCCCTACAGTATAAAAACAGGCAGACTGCTGACATATCAGCAGTACAACTAGCATTCAGGGTCACTGCCTGTAGCGAATTGACTCCCCTTTCGCAAAACAGTATCACTGTAATGAGCTCCTGATCTGCTTACACCTCCATATGCTCTACCCATCTCTCCCCAATAACCACTATTTTCTCTCCATACCTCCCTCAATCTTTCTAACCCCATCTCATCTTCCCACAGCCTTTAAGCAGAGGATGAATTAGGGGTCCGGGCGTGCTCTCGAGGACCAGCAGGCAGGCACAGCAGGCCGGCACGGAGCACAGGGGAATAAATTAGAGGCAGACACAGAATAATAAAGTGATAATGAGTTTACAGTTGGCCAATGTGCCAACCTCCGGGCACAGACTAGCGGATATTTACCACCCTGCTAATAAGTCGTGATGAGGGCTGAATCAGCAGACATGCCAGGGAGGGCACAAGGCCGTACAAATGACAGAACAAAGAGAGCAGATAAAGAAGAGAGCAGCAGAGGAGAAGGAACTGTGGTCAGACTGCAGAGGTGCCTACTAAGCAAAAAAGACCCATAAAACATTCACGGGTATTCAATTGAATACCTACTGTACAACTACTCTCGGGGGAATTCTTATGTAATGTATATGCAGCTACATACATTATTACACACTTGCACACACACTAACTCACACTTAAAAAACCTTGTCCTGCAGGCTTGCAGACTCCAATTTAAACCGTGTGTGTGTTGCATACTTTGCATTTCTGTTGCATGCATATGATGAATATTTGCATTGTATTAGCATATATGTATTGTACATGCATGTCTGACTACCTAAACAGCAGCCTGAATCTCAATGCTGTATCTGCATACGTCTGAATCATTATCATCTGATTTATGTCTCTGTATGACTCCATGTACCTTTTCCATATTTATCAAGGTACATTTATAAAAACGTATATATCAATGTTAAAATACATAAAACAAGTTGTCGACGAGGGACAAAAAATATGCACTTGTCACCTTACAGAATTTGTTATCTTACTGGATGAATAACCAGGCATTTTGTTTCAGATATTCATGTTCCCTCAGGATGAATTTTAATAACTTTGGTGATCCAATAATTGGGTCAAATGTTCAGCCTTATACTTAACTTTGTGCATAGCGCTTAACAGTGGTGTAGTGGGGATATTTTTACTGGGTGGACGCTATTTTAATTAGGTCATCCCAAACAATGCCACAAGTGTGCACGCGTGCAGTGCAAACACAAAACGGGCAGACAGGTCTGCAGAAACTACAGGTATGCTTAGTCCTACTTTAATTACTATACTGCAAAAAGCAGACAGCGCTGCGCTCCACACACACAGACTCAAAACCATGGACACACCGGCACATAAACACACGGCATCTATTGCACGTCTGTCCGTCCTGGGAGAGGGATCCCTCCTCTGTTGCTCTCCCTGAGGTTTCTCCCATTTTTCCCTTTAAACTGTGGGTTTTCTCTGGAAGTTTTTCCTTGTACGATGTGAGGGTCTAAGGACAGAGGGTGTCGTTTTTCTCATACTGATATTCTGAACAATCTGTGTTGTTGTATTTGCTGTAAAGTGTCTCTACTGTAGGCTAATTTTATTATATGTACAGCACTTTGGCTCGACCAAAAATCGTTTATAAATGTGTTATATAAATGTGTTATATAAATAAAACTTGATTTGATAAACAATGTATAGGCCTAAGTTGCATAAATGCTTGAGCTACAGTATGCAACTAAGCAGACAGTGCTGCTCCTCTCTCTCTCCACTTTCAAAATATATTTAAAACTGATAACACCGGCAATGATTTTATATTTATTAGACTATTAAAAAAAAAAAAAAACGCTTCAAAAAAAGTGGAGGCTCCAAATAAGTGGGGGAACGGTGATCCCCTGCGTCCAACGACCAATACACCACTGGTGCTTAATACAACTTGTTAACAAAATTAAAAAATATCTTCTTTTTTTGTTATCTATTTAAAAAGAAAACTCCAACGAAAAGTCTTAAAGGTCCCATTGCATGCTTTTCCGGTTATTACCCGTCTCCTTGTGTGTTATGAAGGTGTCCATGCATGTAAACAGTCTGCAAAGTCAAAACCCCTCAAAGTACACCCTGTAGGGAGTAAAACTCTAACACAGAAAAGACCTCCCCCAAAAGCCTCGTTGGAGATTTCTCAGTTTCCATTGTTTACTTCCTGCCCCGCGTGACGTAGCTGCACCGCGTGACGTCACTTCCTCTGCCAGCCGACCATATTAAGTGTCGTAAAACCTGCTTCTTTTCAAAGCTCTATCCAGTCATGTCGCGGAGGGTCTGTTGCGGGCCCCCCCCGTGAAAAATTCACGCATTCTAGTGAATTTTCATAGTAACACTGCACTTCAGACAACCTACAACTGGTGATGGTGTCTAGGTCTTTAAGTGTTCAACAGCTGAGAGCAGTCACTGCTGTTTTTTGTGGTCTTCTTTCACACACACATCTTACCAAGTGTGTATGAACATCCTCACAAACCAACAAAGAACATGATCTATATCAAATTTAAGACAGAAAACTCCACACTGGTATCTGATCGTCAATCACCGGATAACTTTATTTTAACTATATACAAACTGGTGAATGAAATGAGCAACAAACGTAATGGTTGCACAGACGGCACAGCCTGTTTGAGCAGTGGATCCGTCGCGGCTTGTCAAAAAACCTCTCCAGGGCTTTCTGGTATGGAAAGTGTTCCGATTCCGGTCCATCTATGGATATTCGGAGGCATGCTGCCAGGTGCTCCCCCTGAAGTCTATTTCGCAGGTCAGTTTTCACCTGAAAAGCATGAAAACAGGCACCAAGCATTAAAATAACCATGCAGAAATCAAAACAAGTGCTAGAAAATAAAAAAGATGACTGTACAATCATTGAGCTGCAGTTCAGAAGTAGCCAGCAGAGGCCACCATCAGACACTTGGGCTTTCTTTATACAGCTTTTATGCGCCAAAGTTTTTTTTTCATATCCAGGCTGCATAATTTGGATGTATGTATTTTCCGTACCCGGTTCATCGTCGAGAAGTCTCGCTCACAGTTCACACTTGAGACCGGGATCACCAGCCCAGCCGCAGAAAGCTTGCCGAGTAGAGGATAGAGTTCGGCCCACTCATCGTTCTCGCTTGCCAGCATCTGCATGATCTCAGCTTGACTGTTGTCCTTCAGAAGTTTGGAAAAAGAGCATACAATAAAATTAACCATACGCAAGACAAGATGAATCAATTCTGGTAAACAAAAACAGGCACGTTTACTTACCTTGAAAGCTCCTGTGAGGTGGGGTTTGAAGGAGTACCACTCCGTTTTAAGGTCTTCTTCCCGCCCTGGGATGAGCTTCCTCGCAAGAATGTCAAGGTTTTCAATGTTGGTGTCTTCGTCTGCCATTGCTGCCCGAGGACTAAGCACAACAAAGGCCCCCCACAACTCGACGTCTGGGAACCTGTTCTTGAGGTTGCTCTCCAATCCACTCAGGTATGGTTTGAGCACCTGGAATTATAGGTTCAATTTAGTTCATTTTTCAGCTCAAGGGGGAAAAATACTTACAATTCTCAAGTAACAGTTGAAGAGGATGTATTTACTTCTTTAACAAATCTGGCCCACAGCATGTCCCTGGGAGGGTCCTGGAGGTCCCGTTCCCCACCTGACCCGCTCCTCCTCGTGGTAGATGTTGAATGGCCCAAGTCCCACAGGGTCGTCCAGGTCCGCATGAAGCCGATGGAGGTGAGTCCCGGGCAGTGGGGCCTCGCCTGCCTCCCAAAAACTCCTGATGGTTGCCAGTGTGGCTGGAACCTAAATGTGTAAAGACATTCAAGATGACAAGATAATGGCTGGTATTCCCAAGAGTTAAGCAAGCCCTTTGCCCATATGTCTATGGGCTAAGTGCTTGCTTAACTCCTTGATACCAGCCAATATCTGGAAGTCATTCCACCATGAAAAGCATCATTTTTGACATGACATTCATACCTGCGTCTTAATGTGTAAGAAGTTTACGTTGGCCTTCTGGAACACCTTTGAGAGGAGGCAGATGTGCGGCAACACATCCGCCTGCAGGTACAGGGCAGCCACAAAATGGTATGTTGCGCAAAAGGTGTACAGGCCTTTGGCTATTGGACACTTTCTGGTGGTGGCTTCATCAGCAAGAGCAGAGAGGATGGCTGGCAGGTTCCTCCGCAGATTCTGGACTGCCATCTCCTGCGACAACCATCTTGTGTCCTTGACTTCCTAAACATACATAGAAACACTGATAAGAATAAAATAATCACACTAAATGTTCAATTATATTGTGAAAATTGTTGATTACATACCTTGACCTTCAGGTCACTCAAACCGAGTGTGGTGGCAGCATTGCGCAGGGCGGCTGACCGATTGGCGCCGTTGCGAAAGAAAAGATGCAGGTCCTGTAGGTGGTTGCGGAAGGTGGCCATGTACTTCACCGTCTCTGAGGCCCCCTTACACGCCAGCGCCAGTCTATGGGCCGCGCAGGCCACAGCCACGGGATATCATCAGTGAGCTGCTTGGCCACACCATTCAGACGACCTAGGTTTAAGATATACATTTAGTGTTGAGGTGTCATTTCCCTCATTTCACACAATCCATCAAATGTAATACTGACTTCATACCAGTCATCACTGCTGCTCCATCAGTCCCGAGCCCGTATAGCTTGTTAGTCGGGAGCCCCTTCTCCTGAATCACGCGTTTGATGGCAGCAACAACTGTATCAGCCTTCCCATCGTCCAATGGGACCAGGTCAAGGAAGTGCGTGTAGACGAGTCCATCCTTGTCCAGGAGTCTGAAATAACATTTGATTGTCATACATTAAAATACCATCAATGCCTTAAATCTTTATACGCACTGAACACCTTCAAAAACACAGCACCTGACATGTAGATCGAGCTGCCGGATCACAGAAACATCTGTGGTTTCATCCACCTCAAGGCCGATAGCTGCTGAGGCCCTCATCTTCTCCATGATAGAGGACTCTACAATCTACAAGTAGAATGAGATATTTGATTGATTCCATGGAGATATTTTTCTTGGGTATTCAAGCAGACTGGGTAACATTTCAGGAACCAAAAACACATCTATTGAACACAATATAACAATGCATGAATCCAATATTCCATTTAACCAATAGAACACGACTGAGTAAAAATAGTGAATAGCTTTACTTTACCTTCGCAAGGATCTCCAGCATTTCGTCCACAATCCTGTGGGAGTGATAATTACTCCTCTGGTCCAGCTAAGAAAAGGAGATGCATCAATTAGATAGGCTTGTGTGGTATCAGTTCAATTTCATAGTGTAAAGGGTTAATTACCTTCAGCTTTGCAAAGTAGCTGCAACCCAATAATTGCGTTAGGCTGAGGAGCTTTGGGTAGTTGTTGTGGTGCGATATTTCATTCTTCATGAGCCAGTATAGGCATTTGAACCCTCCTATGATGGCTTCATGCTCCATGACAATATTGGGCTCAAAAGCCTGCACCACACTGAGGCCTGCACGAAGAGCAAATATTTAATAAGAGTGCATGCCAAACATGGTTAATATCTTGTACGAATTCACTAGGCTTTTTGTTAAAAGATAATTCTATACCTGAAGCCAGGGACGCCTGCTTTCCCACACTGTATTGATGCAGTTCGGATTTCAGGTGGTGCTGGATCACATCCTTCCTGTAGACCGTGTACCCAGCTTCAATAAAGGACCTTTGTATTAAACACATACAAATGTAATTTCTACCATTTTTGGTGTTGTACAACCAAGTGTTGAAGAGAGGGTCCTTTAACCAGTCAGGATTCCAGCCAGACTTGCGGTGATGAGGAGCTGTAATTATAATGCATTGGGTGTAAGAATAAAGCATTTGAAAAGTGCTCTCCTTACTCTGTCTAGGTGAATTGAAGGGTTTGAACTGTGGAAGTTGGAACTGGGAAGTTTGGTCACCTGTTCCTGCCTCAACACCTGCACCTGCTGCCTCAACACCACCTGCTGCGTCTACTACACTGCCCTCTGCACTCTCACTAGTGCTCACCGTCCCCTGGAATTAACAAGTGAATCAAGTTGCATCTGCATTTTCTCTGTTAACTGGTATTTAATTTCACACACCATATTAAATGACACATGGCTTAAAGATTTGTTTATCATTTCAATGTCAATTTTATTTATATAGAAAAGTTAATATTACCTGCTCCCCTTGCACAACCTCAAGCCGAACTCTCTTGGTCTTGGTAACAAAACTATCCATGCCTGCGTGAGTGAATACATATAATGTTAACGTACAATTAGCTACCTATGCAGTTTGCCAGTATTTTTTCAATTCATGGGAACAACATCTATGATGACCCAGGGACAACACATTTTAACTAGCTAGCATATGCTTATTAGCGTTTTTTTAATGTTAACTAGCTAGCAGATGCTAATTAGCATTTTTAATGTTAACTAGCTAGCAGATGCTAATTAGCGTTTTTAATGTTAAGTAGCTAGCAGATGCTAATTAGTGTTTGTAATGCTAACTAGCTAGAAGATGCTAATTAACGTGTGTAACTAGCTAGCAGATGCTAATTAGCGTTTTTTATGCTAACTAGCTTTATGGCTATTTTGTAAGTTGCACCCACCTTTATTTCTCTCAAAAAATATGAAAAATCTCCTCAGAAATCTCTCAAAAATGTAGGAGCGGGGCTAGTCCTGGTGGGCTACCCAGGCTGAGTGACAAGGTGGCATCCAGGAAACTGAAATTTGCAGGTCACTGCCAGGGGCGTCGCCTGGACCTGGAAACATTCGGGGCTTAGCCCACAGTGGCGGCGCTACAGTCAAATGTTCTACTGCAAGACTCCCCACACGCACATACACAATTGCGCCATCTGGTGTCACAAACGTGTGCCTGCATTAGCTTTGTTACGGCAATGGATTGTGGGAGATTCTCATAGCACGTGAGGATCTCTTGAGGGTAAGGTGCCTGTATTATCTCGGTGGACAAAATGTATGTTTTTATTTTATAAGGACAATAACGTACTGTTGTGTTTGTGTAGTTTAATGTTAATTGTTTAATGCTCACAGTCACAGCAACATGTTTTTAGTGTGATTGGCTATTTGTTTTATATGATTTATCAACGTGATCATCAATAGCTAATCTGAGCACCAGAACCCAGCTCACGAGTCCTTTTATGCTGTCCATTGAAATGCAGGTATGTGAGTTTTGTACACGTTTATTTATGTTTAATGTTTCACATTGCTCCACATGATGCCTTGACTAAAAAGTCTTCCATGTTTCTACGCTTCTTCCTCTGTCACAGTTTCGGGAATATCAAGATCATTGCACAGGGCCTTGGTCTTGTCATAGACCTCATGTGCTTTCTCGTTACTTTGGTAACTTTTCAGTGTGTTCTCAACTGCTGTTTTGTAATCTACTGCCTGCACCAAGTCAAGTGTTTCTTTCTGCAGGTATTTGTGCAGGCCCTGAGTGGTTGAGAGCAGTGTCTGGAACAGGACAGCATGTAGATGGTACTGAATTTTCAAAGCTTGCTTTCCAGTCCCTTTGCTAGAGGGGCTGAAAGGCTCCCTAAAGTCTTGATCAAAGCAGGGAGGTTTTTGACATGCCCAGCGAACAAGTTGTTCGACCTCTAGTTGTTTCTGAAATGTTTGCAATCTCTGATGGTGGACAAGAGATGTGGAGAAGAAAGAGTAGAGACACTCCAGGAGATCAACGCAGGTATGTGAGTTTTGTACACCAGTTTGTATAAGTTTAATGTTTCACATTGCTTGTGAAAAATATACTACCACTATACGATCACTGATGTTTTGTTGTTGACTGGACACTTATTTTGTAAAAGAGATAGCATGAGAGGATCTCTTAAGCAATGCAGCTCACGTGTCCTTTTTATATGCTGTCCATTGAAATGCAGGAAAGTAATCACCAGCTCTGAGTGATCTGTTGACGAGGGGACACTACACCGGAGTTACATAAGCAGAGATAAAGTGCTATTTTGGGGGGAACTCACCTCCTCTGGGGTCCCCCAGGAAGACTTTTTTTAAATACTGAAGTTAAAAGCATCAATCTTGTGCACTTTGAGAGCAACATTAAGAGATATGGATACATCTCTCAACACCCATATGTCAAAAGAAATCAAAGAATCAGAATCAGAAACGGGTTTATTATTTAAAAACACTTCATTTTCCAATTAAATCATAAACTATGTCAAATTATTAGAAGTTGTTAGTAATCAGATTAAACAGAAAAAAGGGATGGAAGGAGGAAATAATAATCCCTCATCAATTGCTGTTTGCGGTTGAAATGATCTCTTTTGCTGGCCAAACATGCTGGATGGAAAGCAGTGATGTCTCACTTGCCTTGGCCCTGTATCTGCAGTCCCTAAATCAGTCATGTTACTCATTGACTCTTGTCTGTTCTGGTGTTCCTGTTCATTGTTGTCTCCATTGTCGTTCTTGTCTGTTGTATCTCCTTCTTGTGTGTCCCTTTCTCCTGTTCTCCTTTCTTCATCCTCTACTCTGTTTGGCTCATCTGTGATGACTGTGTAGGTAAACACAAACAAGTACGTATCAGTTTCCAGCTCTGTCAAATAAATGAATTTCAAGATACACACATTTGTCTTCATTAAAATGAGTGTCACCACACTGTCACAAAATGTAATACTAACCAATTGAAAATAGTTAAATGTACATCTCTTGTAGATATCACTGTTATAGTAGTTATCTGCCAATAGGACAGAATCATTCCTATACAAATGCAGTTTGAGTAATTCACTTAATATATTTACTTAAAACTTTAATATAGTCATTTTCACTTAATACTCTAATATAGTCATCTTTCTGCATTCAACACTAAGGAAAGCTGTACAATTTGACATGATAATGAGGAAAAAAGGCCTCCGACAATGCAGATCATTTTTTGATCATATCAATTTTAAGATGCGGGTCAAGGCTTAATATTTGGGAGCATAGTGTCCCTTGCTCCCTTTCCCTTTGATCTGAAATATTTGTATAAAAAGCTTGTTAGCTGGCTGTCCATCTCATAATGTTCACATAGAAACTAGCTGTCAATAGGAAATATAAATCAGAATAATTATATTTTCATGCAAAATCTGTCACAAAAAGAGGTTGCACATTTAAATGCAGGTGTTGTTATGGCAACGTCAGTGGCCAGACAGCCACATTTACTGCTGCAAATACGTTCAAACATGCTGTCGACACGTAAAGCAGTGGCAACTATGCCACCATTTCAGCTGACTTTTTCTCAGAAATACTGTCACATAACATCCATATATATATTTCAGTGCTAGGTTGATGCTTAGCTAAGCTAACTATGAAACACTTTAACTGACAGGACTCAGGAATCAGGATCAACTGTGTACTACTGTAAGGTAGCTTCTAGCTTCATGTCGAACACAGACAGTAAGTCAACATTTCCCAGAGAGCTTTCTTTGAAATCACCAAGTAACGCTAAAAAACACAACATTTAGATTGTATGACAAAGTCAATCAATCAATCAATCAATGTTTATTTATATAGCCCAATATCACAAATGTGTTTTAAAAAAAAAAAAGTGTTTATTTAATATATCTGGCTAGCTATAGCTACTTGCTAACGGTTTAGCTTACCCGCGCGATTCAAAGTAACGTCAACGTAGCTATAATGTATGCTTTGCTTACATGTTCGCATAACTTGTAAGTTTACTGACAGGTACATACCTTGTTCATCTGGCTCAGGTGGTGGCTCTGGGGTTGTTGTGTGAGCCACCACTTGAGAATTGCCGTCTTTTTTATTAAAGAAATGTCTAATCTTCAGAATCTCCGCGTCCGGGGCTGACAGTTTAAAGTTTAAACATTGTCACAGAGAGGTACGTACCTGTCAGCCAATAAAACACGTTTATTTCCATGCAACTCTCTGATTGGTCTGGTGGCGTCGTCTTGCCTCTGTGTTGCATTCACTGAACATGGGAAATTACATTCCTGCCGTCCGTCCTATAGGTAAAGTAGGTTAATGTATTATATTATTGAGGGAGAATTTGTCCGGGGCTAAAGAAAAAACATCCGGGGCTAAAGCCCCGGATTCCTACCCCAGGCGACGCCCCTGGTCACTGCCATCGACACCAGGAACTTCCAGCTGGCAAGTTAGTACTCTGGGAGCCAACACAAGGGCACCGACCAAGAGGGCGCCCCACGCCAACATACGTGGAGGTGCTGAGGAAGGATGTGGGGGTGGAAAGCTCCACAGAGCTGGCCGGGTGTATGGAGGACCGTGAGGATTGGCGAACCCGTTGGCAAACTCGTCTAAGGACGACCTAGTAGTAGTAGTCCTTGATTGGCTCAAATTCACACCTTTTTAGGGGCGGGGCTAGTGATGTTGTCCCGGGGATGCTTAGGAGTTGATAAAGGAGATAATCCCACTGACGTCATCATTTGATTCCAAAAGTGGGTCTGGACTCGCGCCCATAGAGGCTGTTTACCAGTATAATGGCTCCCCCCAAAGTATAATTTATGGGTGGCTCCCCCCAAAGTATAATTTATGGTTTTTTAAGTTTTTTTTAACTCACTGAGCACTCATTGCCACCAATGCAAATGCAAATGAGTGCTCACTGAGTAAAAAAAACAAAAAAACACACAAATTATACTTTGGGGGGAGCCATTATACTTTGGGGGCCCCCCAAAGTATTAACATGCTGTGGGAATCACTGCTGAGGGAACGCAACATCGAACAATTCTATGATGT